TTTTTTTTGGATGGTACATCGGTTTGGAAAGTAGAACAATCACTAAGGAATATACTTTCATATGCGCTATAGAAGACTGTAATATTAACTATTTGAAGAAGATTCGAAATACCGGCGAGCTCGACTGGTTATTAAATTATAAAGATTTTTCAGGTGTCATCCTACAATTACGATCAATGCTTTATGGTGAGGAAGATATTCAAAATACTAAAGTCAAATGCTATAATAGCGGTAAGACATCAAGAGTATGCGAAGGTGGCGTGTGTGGGGTATTAGACATGAATGACGATGCAGCACCAGAATACTTATGTAGGACGACATTTAATGATATGTCCGAACGCCGTTATGTAGAATTTGACACATGGATAGAACCGGCTTTCCATGGACAAAAACGAGTTTTACGATATAGGTGTAACGTTGATCATTGCAACGGCTGGGATGTAATAGAGAAAGTTCAAATCTTACTTAAAGAAATAAGCGATCCGTTAAATTTATTTTGGCCACCAGAGGATAGTATTACATTTACTACAACAACTCGACCGACTACTACTACTACTAAAAAACTACATATTTCTACTTCAGTCGATAAACAGATTACATTATCTACAGAGAAGTTTACAAATCAGATCTTTTTAAGTACGGACATTATCAAAATAGAGAATTTGTCTTTGGCGAGTACATATGCTGTACAGATTGAATCAAAGACTTCAATGAGGACGAGTACTTTAAACACTTCAAACAGTAGTCCAGAAAGAGAATCATCAATAACCAATGCAGATGCCAATTTTATTTCAGCAATATTTACGTCAACGTCGACAACAGCCTTCAATAATACTTCACATCTAGAGATTGAGATATATATCTATTATCTACTAGTTCTTTATTCAATTATTGTTCTACTAACGAAGTAGACATGACTTTTTTTTATCTTAAAAGTGATTGTGGATACGAGATTTTAAAATATGGGAATTTCAAATACTAACTAACAAAAGACGTTACTATCACGCTTATTGAATACTATCAATTATTTATGGTTTAAACGGTGTTACATAAAATCACATACTATGTTCATATTGTCAAAAGGTATCTAAGAAATGTATAAACACTTAAACATACCATGTTATTACTGAAAGTACGTGGATCTGCTAAACTTAAAACTGACAGATGACGGATGTAATTCCGTTGTTTTAAAGAACAAATCATATAATGATTAAATCTTAGTTGATCTATCAGTAGACAGGTTTATTGTCTTGAAAATGTTGATCAGTACCATCTTGGGAGTATGGATGTGGATACAGATGAAGAAGGAACATCCACATCTATATAAATTCTCAACTGCACCCCCGCCCTTACCTGAAAAGTTAAAGTCAATTCTTTTAAATGAGATTGTGGGTGTGAGACGACTACAACACACACGTATACCCACATCCACACCCTCAATTTATTACATTCATGCCCACACGTACATCCTCACACCCTGATCAATTCCAATAACGAAAAATTTCTTATCTTATTCAGTTTGAATATCTATGAAATGAGATTTTATTATTCTTTTCGAAAAATGAAGAGAAAAAAAATGAGAGTATCTTAGTTTAGTTTCGAAAAAGCGGAAATGTTAATATCAGTTCGATTTTGTCGTTGTTTTAAACAGTGATATAAATATTATCGATATTGATTATTGGTATTTGTGGTTGAGGTGAACTTTCGACAATGATCGTATCGATATTGGCCCAATTGAATATTAATGGCCATATGTACGCATTGCTCAACGCAAACGTATAACTCTGCATTATCATGCCCATGTTTGATCCGATGAAAGTGACATTCACACTGCTACTGTAAACATAAACAACGAGAGTATTCAAGGTGAAAGTTCCATTAATTCGGGTAAAACTCGTTGAATTGAGATTGATGTTACAGGCACGTTGATCAGAATAAAGAGTACAAGCGTTCATATTAGACCATTGGAATCCTCCATAACCACTAGGAATGATAATCGATGTGGGAAGATCATTGAATGTGACACCAGTCTGGCCAGGTGGGCAAGCTAGAAATAGAAATGGATGAGATTTTATTGATAGAACAAGATTAGATCGATACTAACCAGAAATACATTGAGATCCATTCCATAACATGGAAGAATTGCATTGACACGTATTAGAAAAAGTCGAACATGTGAGATATTTTGATGAATCACACCATTCATCAGTTTGACATAATTGATTGAATGATCGCCAATATTCACATACACTTCCATTGAAGAAGTATTGATCTGGACATATCCATGTACCATTGACACACTGTAAATATCGATTGATACTGTTGAAAGATAGAATACATGGTTGATGATATGACGTGTAGAAAACTGGTTGTTGAATGATATAACCAATCTGAGATCTTGATGATGATGATGGTGATGATGAATAAAATATACCTTCAAAACTCCATGAAGTAAAGAGAGAACATTGATTGATCGAAGGATCAAAGTTGACTGTTCGACATGCAATATTTTTCACACATTGTGCGACACAACGCATAATAGTGTTGGCATCATTTTCTATAGTCAGAAGGTCATTCGTATCGGTAGGTATAAATTGTAAGCCTACAGGAGATATTTCAAATGGAACTTTATCAATATTACCATGGATAACTGTTGAAAGAAGTACAATCAATATCGCAGCAAAATTCATGCCTTTCTTGCTCATGAAAAGAAATACAATGACAATCAATTACTGCTAAAGTTTACTCTTCGCGGAGACTGTTTATTGACATTTTTCTCGATCACAAAATAAGTAATTATCGGAAACAAGATTATTTTTAATCAGAGAAAAAAAAACATCTGATTTAGTATTCCATACTGTTACTTTAATCATAAATAATTGATTCGAATTGAATTTTTGTCTCAATGAAAAACAAATATTGTTTCAGACACTATGGGAAAAACTTTGTTCTAGACTTCGTTCGCATTGTCGGTTTATTTCAAAGCAAAGTAGTTGAATCAAAGAAAGTCTACTGATAAACCCATAATTCCTCGATGCTAAAATTTCGCATGTGATCGTGTTTTGTAGCAAAAGAATGCCATTTCTTCTTCTGATGTATTTTTGATGCTTTAACATTATTTGCCATATGAAATAATGCAACTTATCTTCTATATTATTGCTATTTCCGCATGGAAGTCTCTCTATAATTAAATAAAATTTACCTTTTATTTTGTTTTTGCTATCATTCACTAGCGTAAACTGGATTTAGATAGATTAATGCGAACAGCCTCTTGAGGGTGTGGTGAGTGTAGTTTGAAAAAAATACTTTTATTCGTTCTGTATATCCTTCTAACAGTATCTTAATAAAAAAATGGTGACGTTATTTGTCCTATCCTTTTTTTCTGTCTTTGTTATCATCACTGTGAAAGTATTAAAATTGATGATAAGGACAAACATGATATTTACTAAAAGAGTGAGAGTGTCATCAAATACAGAACAACTTTCTATTTTCATTTCGTTAAAAAAATGGGCATGACGTTGTATGTTGTCTTCACGTTATTTGTTTTTATTGGTAAGATCGAATGTTTTCAGCAAAATGTCAAGCTTGTAGGCACTCACATAGTAAGCAATGTGTTCAGGATAATTTTGTTTTAATTAAGAATGTATTTGAAAAAGATTTATCGTCATGGAGATCGTGCCCCCACTGTCCTATATCCAACAAGCACCACCGATCCGTTCTTCTGGCCGAATGGTCTTGGTCAGTTAACGCCTAGAGGCCAACTTCAACACATTCGACTAGGTCAATTTTTACGAGAACGATATTCTGAACTGCTCAATTCGACTTATGTTGCTTCTGAAGTCAGTAACAACTAATGTCAGCTCACTAATGAGTCTTCTTCACGAATGTTTATTGTTACTAAGGACGACATCTTTCCTTTCATCTATCTTTCTCAATCGTCTCTCTAACATTACATCCATTCTCACCCATCTCTTATGCGTTATATCTGCCTATTCCGTTTTGATTTTTTTCTATTGAAATACTAAAAAAAAGAGCTTTTTAAAGGACGAAAATATCCTTATGTAAGAAATATGTCAATGTGTTTCAGTTTTTCCTCTATTAAACACCAGTTATGTTGTTGTGTGCACAAATGAAAGAAGATTAGTGAAGTGTATTAGTCATTGATTGTTTCAATTGACACCATAAAATTATACAGGATTTATTACAAAAAAATAATTTTTCCTGACATCATTAGAATCTCCATCCAACTCTATAGTTCGAATCTTTTTGAGCATATTAATTCATTAAAGCTCTATTTATGAAACCTTCGCTTGATATCTTCTCTTTCATGTTAATTTTTACCGTATGGTTAGCATATTTAATATAAGGTGGCTGAACATCATTTTTATTGCTAAATATCTTTCATTTGATATAAAAAGTGAACTTAAAAACGCACAACAGACAATAGATATAACGTATTATTATAATTTAAGAGAAACAATGAACAATACAATCTCTTCGCTACCTGCACCATACAATTTTGTACAAGCAGCCAAACAGCCAATTATGTATACTTATCTAATCACAACGATATTTATTGTGATCATGAATATATTAAATGTTTGGGTACTTAGTCGTCCAGTTCTTCGATCATCTTCATGTACGTATTATTTGCTTGCTTCAGTTATGCCCGTTCCAATATTCATTATTGTTACACCTGTAAATCAGATTCTAGTAAACAATCGTGGATTATATATTAGCGGTACAACAGTCACATGTAAATTAGTGATGTTTTTTATTTCTACAAGTTCATTATGGTATGCTTCAATGTTAGTATGTGCTACAATTGATCGATTTCTCACAAGTTCAACTTTAGTTCATTTACGTCATTTTACTCAAGTGCGTGTGGCACGAATAATTATCCCCATTAATTGGATCTTAATCTTGATATATATGTCACCATTTACAATAATTTATTACTATGATCCGATGAGTAGCAATGCAAATAAATGTGTTCAATATTCAACAACATTAATTAGTATTTACCTCATTAGTCGAGTTATTGTTTACTATGTTATGGTACCATTATTATTAGCTATATTTGGTACATTAACAATTTATAATATTCGAACTCAACGACATCGTATAGCGCCAGTAAATCAATTCAATGGTCAACGTCGTACTGAGAGTCAATTAGCTCGTATGTTAATCATTCAAGTAGCTTCGTATTTACTCTTCTTTACACCATCTGGTATAATATATATTCTTGTGACATTTTTTCCATCTCTGAACACGTCATATTATGCAACAATTCGAAGTCTAGCAGGTGCTTGGCAACAAGGTGGTTATTTCATTTCTTTTTTCTTTAATTCCTCTCGATATATTTTACCCGAGAAGATATAAAAG